AGCAGTATTACTTTAAAACAAATGTATGCCATTTGAGAGAGTTTTCATTTGAAACAGATCAAGAGAGATTTTTTTTTTTCCTCTAAAGAAGTTTGGTTTTACTCACAAAGAACACTTGTAGCTGAAGTACAAAATCTGTTTCTCAAAAAAGCCAGAAAGGGAATTATAGCAATGATTAAAATTACTGAACGGTATGTTCCTACAGATAAAGATCACACCATTAATCTGGTGTGACCATCAGTGTCACTGAGCCTCAGTGGTGCTACAAAAGTACAAGGGAATGTCATTGTAAAGACATTATAACTGTTCTCCAACACTGCAATCTTAGCTGATGCCCAAGTGGCCTCATTTTAAGTATTTCTAAAACGAGAAACTGTGCTACTGGGAGGAAACTTTGCCTATTTTTTCAGCTTAAATATGCATTTCACAGTAGTTTCCAGTTGTCTTGAGATTAAATTCTGCTGGGGGAAAAAAAAAGGTCCCCTGTTCACATGTTGGGAAATGGAGACCTTTCACCAGAGTTGGTCAGAAGGTTTTCCTCTGACTGCAACAGAGCTCTGCCTAGGCTGTTACTGGCAGGAGCCTTGAAAAGATACAAGTTGGTTAGAGTTATGTTTTAGTTAAATGTTGTTGTTTTTTCTTTTTCTTCAAAGTTGACAAAACTGTTATAAAGTAGAACAGCTGAGCTTTGGGAAAGGGATTAGACCCGCATAGGTTTATGCTTACATGCTTTGCACTTGCTATGTAGTTTTTAGAGGAGGTACTTACTAAAATGAAATTTTAAAAACTTAAGTTTTGAATTTAAAAATTTTAAAAACTTAAAGACTTACCTGCATAAATACATACTTCACTTGTGCATTCATTTACTGATTCCATAAAACATCAAAGCTTTATGGCAGTCACTCTAGAAAGGGGGGCTATTTACTATATTTCTCATAGATTAGGGCAGTACTTTATAAGTGTCAGTAAAAAAGGGAGAGGAATTTGTAAATTTATGTGGCTGTGAGAATGAAAGCAGGATTTTCTGGCTCTGTTGAATTTGTTTCTTCTGTTGTATTCTTAGGGAACAGCAGGACCAGATCCAACAACAGTCTACGTAGATATGAGAGCACTTCGACATGACAGGTACGGATGATGTTAAAGCATTAACTGTTTAATGACTGTAGAGGAGAAAGTTCAGCCTTGTTGCATTGCAGTGGTATGTTGAAATATTCTTGGCAGCAGCTAATCCGTCATCACCGTATACAAGGAACCCCACCCTAGAGAATCCTTTAATGATGTGCTGGAAGTGGTCCAGCATCTCCTCCTCCATCACTTGTTCTGCTGTTCCTTTTTAGACCCTTACCTAACTTGCTGTCTGTTCATCAGTCTTGTATAATCTGGACTCATCAGCTGTTTCTTACCTAACCAGACCGTTGGCAAATGGTGACTTTGCAACTGGCTGGTTAGTCACAGAATCACAGAAACAGTTAGGGTGGGCAGGATCTCTGGATGTCCTTCATGCAACCTCCTGCTCAAAGCAGGACCAGTTTCAAGGCTTCACCAGGTTACTGAGGGCCAGGACCAGTTCAGTACAGAAAATCTCCAAGAATGGAGATCCTCCTCCTCTCTGGGGGTATGTGCCAAGACTGACACCCCGCTCTGGGGAAGTTTTCCTTACTGGCATTTCCCACCTTGAATGTTACATCCCTGTCCTCCTTCTGGTGTGCAACTCCAAGAAATCTGGCTCCGTCTTCTCTCTACCAATCCTTTAGGTAGTGGAAAAAGTGCAGTTAGAGTCCCCCTTAGTCTTTTTAATTTTTTTTTTAAATTTTTTTCCTTCAGACCAAACCGACTCAATTCCCTCAGCCTTCCCAGATCAAATAACTGATGTCAGGCCTGTATTACAGCGTATCAAAACACACACACGCATATATGTACACACGTCATCTGAAAACTTGCCAAGGATAATTAATTCTATCAGACTTAATTCTATAGTCATAATTTTCATATTAACTTGTCTCTTGGTTAACTTAGTTAATATAAGTGCTGGCAGCACCAAGTTCAGACTGTAAGTTTAGTAGGGTACATACATGTATGTATTTGTTTCCATACTTAATTTAAGAAACACAATATCAAGACTTGGTGCATTTGCTTCAGTTTTTTTTAATTCATAATGTTAAATTAGGGACGTAGGTTAACTGGCAGCTTTTGTGACTATTCACCTCTAATTTTTGCAAGTTTAAATCTTAACTGTTAGAAGACAAGCTATTCACCATCATTTCATAGAATCACAGAATCATTTAGGTTGGAAAAGACCCTTAAGATCATCAGGTCCAACCGTTAACCTAGCACTGCCGAGTCCACCACTAAACCATGTCCTCAAATACCATGTCTACACATCTTTTAAATACTTCCAGGGATGGAGACTCAACCACTTCCCTCGGCAGCCTGTTCCAATGCCTGACTACCCTTTCAGTGAAGAAGTTTTTCCTAATATCCAACCTAAACCTCCCTTGGCTCAGCTTGAGGCCGTTTCCTCGTGTCTTGTCACTTGTTACCTGGGAGAAGATACCAACCCCCACCTCGCTACAACCTCCTTTCAGGTAGTTGTAGAGAGCAATAAGG